TTTTTTTTTTTTTGAATTTCCATTATTCTTAAAGCCTGTGTCGCCTTCAATGAACTCTGCAACTCATCTTCTGCTACCATTCTTAGATCCGTCGTTAAACTCACATCATGACTGATAGAGGTCATCACCCCACCGATTGGAGTCCTCTCCTCATCATGATTATCGCCACTTGCTAGTTGACTAAAGCCATACGCGGCACGAAGTCTTCGCTTAAACTGCGTCTGATCACTCGTCGCAAGTACAGGATTGAGAACAACATCAGCCGAGTTGACCACGATCGCACTTCTGTCGGTTTGCGATGTAACCAAAGTAGCAGCGCAGGTAGTTGCAAGTGCAATCGACATGAAGAGAGGATAGACACGCATGTTGGGCGAGGTCGGTTACGCTAGCGGATGCAAATTGTTTAGTGATGGGGTGGGCAACGCGAACCAGTGAGCAAGCTTTAATGGTTCATGGAAGGGGTAGCTTCGACCTGTCTGTTCTCAAGACACAACAGCGCGATCATCAACTGTACGCCAAATGATGCGATCCAGGATTGTATTTTGGAGGAGAAAGTTTCAGAGGTCCTCACCACTGTAATATTAAACTAAACAAGAGATAGTGACGAGGTGACACATTATTGGTAGCACACTATAATATCATGATTGCACACCTGGCCTTAAACTATCAGTGCTATCTACGATTAATTATCAAAAGAGACCTTCAACTTTTAAGGCGTTAAAGCTAAAATGTTTGCGCCTTAACCTCTCAGATATAATACTAGCAAGCAGATGGATTTTCTTATCTTAGGGGAAGGACATTGAGATGCTCTTCACTGATGGATGAGGATGGGATAAGACACAACGAGATCCAGCTCGTTAAGCTTCTGAAGTTCCAGCTGCCATCTGAAGGATACAAATGGCAGCTATTTGCAATCATTATTAAGTGACCGATAGTCAAGAGACGGACTGTGTAGAGCCAGCTTACCATCTCCGACTCCAGTTTTACTGAACTAACGGAATTTGCATAAAAATGACGTTGTAACTACGCCCTGATACAATGTATCTATAGAGTGTAACACAATACATTATCGACGTTCAGTATATCGGGATTATTCTTTTTAGGACCCATAGAAAGAATATTATACGACAAAGGACAGTGCCCTTGCCTCCTTACCGAAGCTCCAATGCTACTGAAATCGAAATATAGTGATTGCTTACGATAGATATTCAAGCCATTCATCATGCAAGGGGTCACAAGTTTTTGTTGAAGGTGACCATCTATTTTCCGGATGTAATGAAATGTATTTAATTAAAATTCTATATTTCAAAAATGTGCGTGTCTTTTGAGAGTATTGTGCTAATATTACATATTTTCAGTTACACAAAAGTACGATTTGATTTTCGTGCTGTTTTTCGTGATACAATTGTATTGTTCTTACTTATTTTTTTCGTTAAAAAATCGACAAACGATAAGACTGAGGTATGTAAACACATCTTGCGTGCCCAGCAATCATGTATTCTAAAATTCCAAGTGCTAGCTCCGGATACAATAGTTACTCACAAGGATCAAGCCCATTCTCATTTTTTCGACAGCATGAGAAATAAAAACATACGTAATTCAAAGTCAGCTTGACATTTCCTATCCAATCTTTGTAACCCTTCAAATTGATAGCTGAATGCAGCACAAGCAAGGAAATTTCCATGACAATCATACACTTTCAAGCTGTCGCAATATGAATGAACAGCTCGTACGTTAAAGATCAGTTTAATTATCGTGTCATTTTGTTGTCACCAGTGTCACAACGTTACTTGCATTTGCCGACAGATGCGTCAGAGATTAAAAGCAGTACCTTTTTGATTGTGAAAGATTGTACGAAATAGTGAAATCAGCTTACGACTGACTTGGCCAGATTGTCAGAATACGACCGTCCTTGGAATTAGTATAGCTAGCTACCTGCATTTGTTACTTCTATTCCGCTAACTTTTGGCTGTTGCTGGACGGTTGCTTATTAATTCCCATGAATTCACTAAGAATGTCAGCTGACACTGGAGTATTGTGATGTTCGCGCTATCACCGCGAAGCGACAATAGCACCGGTATTTTTATAAAAATGATGGACACAGGGGGAGATAGGCACTTTTATCATTGGACCAATTAGAGTTATTGTGATATATCACCTATGAAGTAGCAGTAACAGAAACGTAGTTACGTTAAAGGCTACAGTTTCGTACTGCGTAGAGCGTACGAACCAAGCTTTGTGCGGTTCCTAACGCGCACTTTTCGAGTCGAATCTCCACAATGCAAAGTCTTTGGGAACCCCATTGCACTTGGTAGCACTTGTAGTCAATCGCACGACGGAGTCGCGAACAGACAATATCATCTAAAAGGTCAGAACAGGAGATGCTAAAATTCCTGTCCCCAGGACAACTAACCTCGCTTAAAAATTTATATTTATTCTTTCAATTCGAGGTATCAGGAAAGTAGCATCCAAATATACAGATGCAGCAATTGCTCGCCTGGGGGCGTACACTAGTTTCGAGCTGGCATAGCACCTGTAGAAATTCCTCGATCGGGCTCTAGTGAGATACTAGGCTGTACCCTTCGTTAAGTCACAATTGGGGCTTTGACAGCCAAATTAATGGGGTAGTTATACTCTGAAAGGAGTGATTTATGACGGCCATACATTTGGCCATCATCCCGGCGGACCAATGCTTGTGATAATCGAGCTAGGGAGTCGCTGTCATGGGCTACACTTAGCCATTACATGAAGGAATCTATGTACCTTCAGCATGCATTGTGAGAATATATATTAAAAGGAACTACAATAATGTGCATAAGTGATGTTTGATGTGAAGCCACAAACATTCCGTGTGATACAAAAAAATGGTTCCTAGTTAGTGATCTGTACTGGTGAGGATGACGTGTCTCTGTCTATATAAGCTGATGTCGTCAGTCAGTCACTTCTGCGAGGAGCTTTGCACAAAAAATGAATTTAAGCTTTCCAAAGATCAAGCTCCGTACACCCAATATTTATATCAATCAAGCTGAGGTTCAACCTCAGCTCGCCCCTGATTGTATAAAACAGGTACATAGGAACCCAAGATCTTTAGGATAGCATCTAGGAGCCCATGTGATGTATTGCAATAGTTCTTTAGGCTATCAATATATTCAACTTTCGTTGCTAATTTTCTTCAAACCCTCAGGTCGTTCTCCTTCCTTTCGAGTTATGACTGTACTTCCCATTCCACGTTGAGAATCGCTTTGTCATTTCACGAGCGTGTATGTGGTGCTTAAGGGGATGTTGTAAACAGCGCTTATTCACACCTGAAAGCACTTTGAGCGGGCTTTTTGACGACCCTCAAATTTGACGGCACAGTAGATCAGCACGTCGTGAATTTCAGTCCAAGCCGTACTTGCAGCGGAGCTGCCATAGCTTTTTACTTGAAGTAAGCTAAGCTTAGGTCATCAACCGTACGTTCTTTACAAGAACCAGTACGAGTGTAGCGGATCGCAATCCGCTACCTCCAAGAGCACATAAAAGTCTAACCAAGGTGAAAACGCTCTTCCGTTCAAAGTTAAGACTGTATTTAATTGTTTTAGTCGCGGCAGAGCCACCAATATCTTAAAGCTTAGGTTTTCCTAAATAATGGAGTGATACCTAATAAATATAGCAAAACCCAATTAATATGTAATGGCTTCTTGTTACAGTGTAGCCACACCATTGTTTTACCGGTCGCCTCATACGAGGCTAGCGTGTCTTAGTTTGTATGAACATCCTTGAACATTCTCTGCTCAATGAGCCCTGTATCTATGACACGAAAAAAAAACAGCCTGGCTGGTTTCCAAGACACCCGCGGGCAACGGCCTTCTTCTCCTTCTGCGCGGGCTGCATCTCGGGACAGTACATCCGCGGCTTCACGGGAAGCACATCCTCAGCCCTCGGCAACCAAGCGCCACACACCACGTCCGCCCTGGGCGACGGATTTACTAGTCAAAGATTCGGAAGAAGTCGAATACAATTCGGATACTCCTTTCTCAGCCTGGGAAGACGAGGGGGATGAGGTGCGCCAACGGCACGATTCGAGCCGAGCTCAAACCTTGCAAATACCGTGTCCACATTTCAACCTCTCGACTTCCGGGGGAAGTGGTATAGTCATCAATCGCCTCGACGAGGCAATTTGAAGCTGCCCACAGAGCAGCTCTCATGCGCTCGTAACCACGTTCGGTCCAAGGCCTTCGTGTAGAATTCTGCTCCCGCTCGGCGGATCCTGCTTCTAAAGCAAACATGCGATCACACGATCCTAAGTCGTCTACGTAGTCGCCCCCCCCGGCCATCACACAAGCTAAGCTTGACCTGGAAAAAGCTCCCCGAGCTCGCTCCTTGGTACCCCAAGAAATCCCGCCGTGCTTTACTTCGAGATTAAGGAGGAGGCGCTCCTGTCCCCGCGGTGCGACCATTCATGTGGTGCTCGCCCCTGGCGAACCTGCTGCACATGACGATGAGCTCTGAGCGATGGGTGTAGCGGAACCAAAAACTTACTTTGCTATCTTTCATATAGCAAAGCCACAAGGAAGTGGACGTGCGCCTTCGGCGCCATCTTAGATTTGAGTTTGCCAAACTCAAGGCGCAACGCCGACTTCCGGCGCATTGTCGCCCTGCGACGTATGGAACTATCCATAACTCTCCTGCAAGCTCTGTGGTTTTTCACGCGGGTAAGCCGATGACCACAACAGCTCAGGGTCATAGCTTGAGCTAACCTCATGGCTATACTGCTTCCCGAACTACCGCCGAGACGCACCGCGCGCACGACGACGCGAAGCGTCATATTCCTCTCTAACATAAGCGTCCATGGCGTCTAGACAGATAAGATTCCAAACTTCTAAGAGATTTGGAGTTCGGACATTCCCGCCACTTCACAAGATATTGGATTCGGCCCTGTCGACAACGTCGACCCACAAGGCATTCCACGTGGTGTGGACGCCACCGTTCTCATCGATAAGAGTCGACGGCGGACGATGACGCCTTGGTCGATCGCCGTCCAGTGAATCGTGAAGCTCTTTGAGCTTTAAAGGACAAAGTCCATCGTCATCGTCATCTCGCCGGGCATCCTTCCGAGGTCGTCTACCGCTGTGCGAAAGACCCCGATAGCCTGGAACAATTTGTGCACCGACTGGAAATTATCGCACTCTGTTGGAGCGGCTCCTAGCCGTCGAACAGACGAATACGTCACTTCGTGCGACGTTGGAGCACCTTGCGCCGCTAGAAACGGAAATTGTTGCACTCCGTGCTCAGAAATAGTTGCTGGTTCAGCTTCCGGGAGATCGAGCGCCTTTGGGCGCCATTGCGGAAACGTTCATTTGCGTCAAATTCCGGTACGGCTTAAGCAAGCACACATAAAACATCGATTGGGCGCGCATTCTTCTCGAAAGGTTCAACGTCTATACAAGGCCTCGCTTGGC